AAACTTACGATCGTTTATCTCAAAAAATGTCATTTTTATTTAATGTCAAAATGAAACTTCTTACTGAAAAACATTCAAAGCGTTACGTCTAGAATATATGTACATATGGACATATTCATATGTATATAATATAGACTTATAAATATGTAGGAACATGTCATATAAAACGTGTTCTTCCTACCATCATAAACTAATTTCTTGGAATTGTAGACAAGTTTTTGGCGCATAATCTATGTGTATGAATATAAATTCATATGTATGTAAACCTTTGTATATTTTCTGCACAACTTTTAACCTTTTTTGCCCAATTATCGGCCATTTCATACATATTTGCTTTACAACTTCCATAAATTAACAGCTTAAGCGCCACTTTGCTGCCTTGGCCTGCTGTCGCGTAATCGAAGACTGGCTTTTGCTGCGTCCCGACCACGCTGGCAGGCATTTCCGGACTATTAAGCGAAAATTTATTCATTAATCTGCACCGATGTGTCATTTGGATCATCTAGACTTGTAGTTAAGTCAAAAAAAAATTTATATTTTAATTTAATCAATTTGTTTCTTGGTTTGTTTGCGCGTACCAAAAATGATGCCGATAAATATGAATCATTTGAATATTATTACATATACTTTTGTTTAAAGTAGGTAATTAAATGAGACAAATAGAATGAAATTGGAGACCAATAACTTCTCTATCACTTAAAATGCGTAGGCGTGATGCCAAATATTTATCTAGCGGTGTAGCAAGTAGCTCCTGTTGGGTTTTACACTCGGCTGTACAGCGAGTTGCACTATTTGCTCGGCGAACGGATTTATGAAATGGCATAAAGTTGGCATAAATATGGATACATATATATTAGGGCAAGTAAAAAGTTCGTTCGGCTTTTATCTTAGAGATGGCATTATTGTCCATAGTACTAGTGTTACGTGTCACATCATGTCATACTATACGGCGCTGTTTATTTTTATTTTTTATGTGTTTATTCGCGCTAAAAGTTTTTCTTTGACAGTTTTCCGATTGATGGACTCAGTACGTTGTGAGCGCTCGTCAAAGATGGACACCAGCAAAGAGAAAATTCGCTAAATTTTACAATTTCTCTTCAGTCGTGGCGAAAAAGCAGCCAAGGCGAATGAACAAATTAATTTAGTTTACGGACCCGATACTGTAAAAGAACGTGCAGCACAAAAGTGGCTTGCTAGGTTCCGCCCCGGTAATTTCGATGCCAAAGATGCACCACGCGTCGGGAGGCTTGAGGCCTGAAAATTGCCATAAAATCATGGAAATAGTGGAAACAGACCGTCACGTAAGCACTTATTTAATTTCTGAGGAACTAAAGATAAGCCCAAAAAACTGTTTGGAACCATTTGCATAATCTTGGATCCAAAAAGAAGCTCGATGTTTGGATGCCACACGAATTAACGCAAAAAAAACATGATGGACCAAATTTCCATCTTCGAATTGCTCTGAAACGCAACAAAATCGACCAATTTCTGAAGCGGATTGTGACTGGCGATGAAAAATGGCTGACTTACGGCAACATCGAGCACAAACGGTCGTGGTCAAGGCTCGAGGAAGCGGCCCAGACGGTGGCAAGGACCGGATTGACGGCCAGGAAGGTTTTGCTGTGTGTCTGGTGGGATTGACAAGGAGTCATCTACTAAGAGCTACTCCCCCATGGCCAAACGCTCAATTCGGCCCTCTACTGCAAATAATTGAACCGCTTGAAGGCAGCACTCATCCAGAAGAGGTCATCTTTGATCAGCAGTGGCCGAATTGTGTTCCATCAGGACAACGCCAGGCCACACACGTTTTTAGCGACGCACCAGAAGCTCCAGGAGCTCGGATGGGAGGTTCTAATGCACCCACCTTATAGTCCGGACCTGGCCCCAGGTGTTTACCATCTCTTCCTGTCCTGTCGCGCTTAAGGTGAGTAGTCGGCCTCAAGAGAGGCCTATGAAAGTTGGCTCTCCAAGTTGTTTGCCAATAGGGACGCAGCCTTTTACGAGATGGGTATAATGAAATTGGCATCTCGTTGGAAAATCTACAATTTTTGAATAAAAAATTGAGGAAAACTTTCATATTTTTTTAAATGTTTATATATTCAAAAATCATATATTTTCGAACTCTTGATATGGGTCTTCATCGAGTGTATGCCTTTCATGATTTTCGTAATGCAACTTCAGTAAGTTGTAGGAAAGTAACAGAAAGGGAAGAGATTCGCGCACCAAGAGGTTATGACTATCCCTATTCGGTCAGCTCATCGACCCTACAGTTCCCTTGGTGTCCGTATAACCAGAGCAGTATTTTAATAGATCCATACATGTATTCGATATAGTAGCACCTACTTCGAAAAAAAAACCCAAAAATAACGAAAAAATCTCCAAGTAGACATTTTTTTAAGTGGCAAGATCAAACAATTCTGAGCAAAACCGTTTAATGTCAAAAATTTCGAAGTGAAACTACCTTATAGAATTTTTGTATCATGTTTATTACAATTCACATCATCAAGTATGATTTAGAATTGAATTTGGGCGCAATCGGGCAACAACCTTTGCCTTTATTCCATCCATTTAACGGAATTTTTACTTTCCAACTTACGCTTGACTCAAGTTCAGGATCAAGATTAAGGCTTTAATCAATCGGTTTGTTAATATGCAGCTTTTAATGGGTAGGGGACTCTCTCTTTCTGACTGATCTGTGGACTTCTCGAAAAAACTTCTGACAAAAGTAAGTCTATTTCTCTTATAGCTGGTCTCTGTAGTACTTTTATGAAAGTCAAATAAGCCGCATGTCGTTTAATGTAAATTTATTAATCCGGTATCTAATGTTCGGTTCTATTCAAACTAAATGTAGTAGCCGAATCAACAATAGTTCTCCACTTGGCGTTTGACGATAGTTGGAAATACCAAGCAAAACCAGGTCTCACATCTACCTGATCCTTTGAAAGGAGTGGGGATTTTCCCCAAGAAAAAGCAGATCTCACATCTACCTCATCCTATCAACGAAGTGGAAGGTTTCCACTTCCTCTGCTCCCAGCAGCGAGTACTGGATCACAAAGGAACACAAATCTTTCGCAAAACTTTTCTCTCGAAGACTGCCTAGACCGTCTCAGATAAGATTCGCTATCGTCCACGCTTTTGCACCATATACCAAGACGGGAATGTCGAAGGAGTGGCAGAATTTGTTTTTTTTCTCCACGTACTCAATCTAAATTAGCAGCTGTTGGCAAGAGTGATTCTGCGTTAGATTTAATCTGTTATAGTTGTTGACGTTGATGTTGATCTCTAGACATACGAAATCATCCACGGATCATCGATGTTATTACTGACAACAGTGACGTGGGAGCCGAGTCCGAAAGAATTACCGTTAGTGGCGGCGTCTTGTCAACGATTTTTGAATGCAAAATAAATACCGCTAAAAGCGTGAGCAAACTTAAGTGCTCCAGCTTTAAGTAAAGAAGTGGCAAATTATCTTGGAAAAAGCTGAAATCCAGAAACCATATAAAGATTCCTCAGAGAAGCAGATTTCAATGGCCGCACAGCTCGAAATAAACCATATGTCAGTGCTAAAAATCAAAGTGCAAGGCTGAAGGTTGTAAAGAAGCGTTTATATAAAAATGAAAGTTTCTGGACGAAAGTAAATTCAACCTGTTTAGATCAGATGAAAGAGCTATGTATAGAGAAAACCAAATGCTCCGTTACAACCGCCAAATTTATTTTAAAACATCGTGGTGAACATGTAATGGTATCGGGATGCATGTCGTCGTCTGGAGTTGGAAATTTTAATTTCATGGATAATACTGTGTATTTGGACATTTTAAATAGAAATTTTTTGCCTCAAAATTAAATATTCGTGACAAGTTTCGAACCACAAATCAAGCGTTGTGCAAAGTTGGCTTACTTGGGACTGCACGCATATAGCGCAATCTCCGGATTTGAATGTGATCGGAACAAGAGATTCGAAAACGTGAGATTCGAAATCAAACCGACTTAAAAAAAAAGCACCACAAACAGAATGGTACAATATTGCTCATGACTACACGAAGAGTTTAATGGAATCCATACCCAAAAGTATGAAACAGTCATAGACAGTAAGGGGTATCCTAATAAATATTAATTCACATGCAATTTTAGTTTCATTGCTAAAAAAAAATATGAAATTTATTATTTTTTTTTTGTTACTGCGTCATTTTCACTGTGAGGTACAATTTAATATTGAAGTTTGTTTTTGCTATTAATTACATAAAATAAATATATAATATAAAATTTTTAAAGCATAAATGAAATGTGTATATCTGTCGCTATTCAGGTTTTTTTTTTAATTTATTTCATTTTTTTAAATTTTATTTCTTACGCAGCTGCATCACTTTGGCTGTGAGCTACTGTAGATATTCATTTATTAAAAAAAAAGCAGGGTGAATAATAATCATTTCAAAATGCTATAAATAAATCTTAACGAATTTTGAATGGAATAGTGCAATAAAGATGAATTTAAACCACAATTTTCAAAGTAACAACTGATTTACAAGGAAAGCTCAATTACATACGAGTATAACGGTTAATGCGCAGCACATAAAAGTGCAGTTAGAATATCAAAAGCCTTTAATAATTTCATATCATTAAATACGCAAGTGTGTGTTATAAAAAAAAAAAACTCGATTAGTTGTAAATATAAATTTTAAAAGAACTACAGAAGCTTTAAGCTCTATTTTTAAAAGCTAAAAGCAACATGAAGTCAACAAATGACAAATGATAAATTATATGTAAGTAAAAAATAAAAAAAAGAGATTTTTTTTTTGTTAGCAAACGCACGCACGCTCCAAGTATGTGTAAGCATACAAATTAACAAATTTATTTACATACATATATATGCATATGTATATGTATTTATTATGAAAATCTTTCTTTTAATCACTTTATCTTAATTTATAAGTATACCTACTCATTTGAATGTATGCATGCTGGTACGTTATGTACATATATGTATTACAATTGCCATTTACCTGATATCTCTGGCGCATTTGGCTTGTATAAATCAGTGCTTATTGTACGATTACTATTGGGCGATGTGTGATTGGCTATTTGCTGCAGCGCGCTCGTACTGGAAGACATAGCCGATGTTTGACGCCCGATGTTGCGACGCCCATCGAAATCACGCAACGTTGCCGGGTAGGGTGATTCGAAAAGTCCTACAGCGCGAAATGGAAGACCGCCGGTTGGACCTGAAGGGAGATTAAATATGAAAGAAATTAAGAAGCGATGGTACTCAGCACGTATTTAACGCTTCATATGTACATTATGTATGCATGTTTTGTAGGTTCATATATAAGGCATGTGAGTAAATAGATGTGCAGTTGTTGGTATAAAAGTGTAGTTAATTCTTATTATTTGATGCCATGGAAACTTAATGACTTTTAATGTTAATGGAAACTGTGGGAAGCAGAGTTCAATACCACAATTAGTTGGATTAAATATAAGCTAATTTAGAAAATCAGTTCAATAGATCGTCATTGACATTAGGTAGAGTCTAACTAACTTTTCTTATTCCGAAATTTTGAAAAACATTAATTATTCTTGCATTAAATATAGTTTCGTACATGAACATTGTAAATTCGTACTAGGTCGAGATCATGGAACCCTGATCAAAATTCCTCTCACCTTTGCAGTAGTTTTTTGGTGCTTACCGATACAAGCTCTAGAAGACTATCAAAGTAGAATTGAACAAGAGAAAAATAACGGGCCGCACTGAGAGCTGGGCAGTGACAGTGGTAATGTTTTTCGAGTCCCTTTCATCGTTATCGCAGAAGTCGTTAAAGAAGTATCCCATCCATCTATCATGAGTCCCCATAAGGCAGTGTAAGCCTCCGGTTGTTATGCTTATGGAGATGCCCTTTAAAACAAATACGTACTTCTCTTTTCTTCGATAAAAGACCAGACTTTTCTAGTCACATTGCAATGACCAGAGACCGTTATCGTGATTAGTTCCGCTTGAAGGACGCTGCATTGGTCTAGAAGTCACTTGCGCTGCTGTACAAAGGTTCGCGGACACGAATTTTGATCATAACAATTAATTTTATAATTTTTTTTTTTTTAATAAAAGCTCCTCTTAAAAAACCAGCAGCCTGACACTCAGTAATTGGGGTCAAAGCTTACATTGCTCTATTTTGCATCTGGACTAGATTTCAGTTTTATTGGAGAGATCTGCGGAGGAGCCCGTTTTGCTTTTCTAAACGCAATTTCGAAGGAGGTTCTGTGGATATTTTACATCAGATCGCCTCGAAAGAGAGCAGAAACTACCTCCAAGTACAGGGAGGTGTTCGTATTTAAGTAAGCACTGAAATCAGACAATTTTTGACTGATTGCTCTATTGAAACCCTGGACTGGCGGGCCTGGTTTAGTTAAATAATCGTCAATGTGGCAAAGTGGACGAGCTTGAGACTGGTATTGCTACCGAATGTCAGTTTTTTGGAGAAATTAAATAACTCGATGAAAGAAAGACTGCTTTATGCTGTGAATTTTTTTTATTCCAAAAATTATTTTTCCCAAAAACTGCTTGGAACCTTTTTCTCCTAACGTACAGCTGTTAATGCTTCTTCTCATATTCTTGGAAGAGATCCAATGGTCTAGAAGAGATGTAATTGTGATTCCGTTAATCTGAAATTCCGTTTTAAAATTATATATAGCGAATATTATATGTTAATACTTATCAAAAACACTCTTATTTCTTTTTTATTATTTTCTAAAGAAAATAATTAAACCTGTTGCGATTAGACTTTTCTTATTTTCTTGTAGAATCTTAGCAATAATTGTTTACTTTTGCCCACAACTGTAACTCAAAATTTATACTTATAATTTAAAGCTTTTATTTATAGTACAATTTTTTGGCAAAGAATTTACCACAAAATGGCGTTTTAGAAACAGTAATAAATAACGAAAAAATGGCGATTTTTTTAAAGTAGAATAACAAAACAGTCTATATATGTACACGTATGTATATACTCAATGCACCAATGGCAAAGAAGACCGAAAAACGTTCCAGAAAGTTACGCGAAACACTTTCGAATATAAACTTAATCGCAGTAAATTAAATAAAAAAAATTAATGAAAATAAATAAAGAAATGAAAATTGTAAAACCGCAAATTTCTTTTTATGGCGAACCCCATTTCGTTCTACTCATTGCTTTTTGATTTGCTAAAACTGCCTATTTTTATGGAATTTTTTTATTATTTTGTACTGACACACTGACCCCAACATTACGAATATAAAGGTTCATGTTACTTTTAACTGCATACACACTATATAAATTATATACTAACAAGCATAACCGTTAGTTTAGAAAACTAAATTAAAGAGCTTAAGAAAGAGCATTATGTGCGCATAAGAGACTCTCATTTACCTAACTATGTGCGTGTATATGTTTGTAAATATGTACACGTATGTATATACACTCACTATGCATTATGCACTTTTCTTTCTTCAATTTCTTCAACATTCAAGAAATTAGTTCAGACTCTTGCATATGGTCACGCTGACTCTTGAGTCCATTATCCAGTCAATCTAATATTGAAAAATATTTTGACATATTACGCTCGCTCTCTCCTAATGTAATGTTATACTACAGGCGTACATACTATTATATACACTCAATTAAGGGATTATAAAAAGCGCATAAGTGTTGCTTTCAAAAAAAAAAAAAAAAAAAAGTCCAAGCGAAACTGATCCTTTCGATGTTATTTTTTTTTTATTTAAATTGTTTTTGTATTTCCCTTTATAATTCCTGCTTGTATGAATGGTAATTACGGCCTTGTTTTGTTCTGTGCGGTTTTCCGCATTTTTTTTTTACTTCTTCTGCATTTGCCATTTTTCTTAAGGTATATAGCTCTAATTGCATATGGGCATGTGTGCACGTGTATGTGTGTGAGTGTGGCAATTTGTAGGTGCAAAGAAAAAACGGTTTGTGTGACCACATGGTCGGTCGGTCGGTTGATTGTTTGCTTGGTTTGCATGCCAAATGTTTTCCAAACAATCAATAATAAGGTGCCGCATTGCGCAGCTCCTTCAACTCAGCTGGATAGTTCGTGGTAGTCCGTTGTTCTTTGAGTAGCATAAATATATGTTAATAATTGTTTTTCATAAATAGTTGTTGTGTGTATACAATATAAGAGTATGTATGTGTATATGTGTGTACCTGTTGTGATGCGATTATGAAAGTGGCAAAAAGTGAGATTTTTTGTGGCTTTTACCGCATATTTTTTTCCTCCTTTGATATTTACCCACTCGGAAGGATGTTGTTTCTACTCAAAGTAAGTTAAACCTTCTTATTATATGTATATGACGAAATTCATACATACAAAATACTATATACCTGCATATATAGAAACTAAGCGGGTAAAATGATTGAGGTATTTTTTATTAGTTGTTTAGCAGTCCTTTTTATTTAATAATAATGCGAAATTAAAATAAAATGTCTCTTGGAAATTATAAAAAACTCTTTGATATCTGCATATTGATTAAAAAACTGCTTGGTCTATAATTATCACATTTATTTAATATAGAATGAACGGACTGTGCATTGAAGTTAGTTTGTAATTATAAATAGTTTTTCAATATGGTGTAGAATACCACTGTAATGGTAATATGCTAATATTAACGGTAGTGGATTTAAGAAATATTAAAAAATAAAATAAAATAATAAAACAAAGAAATATAAAATAAAATAAAATAATTAAATTAATTAAAAACGAAAAAAAAAAATAATAAAACAAAGTAATATAAAATAAAATAGTATAAAAATAAATTAAATTAAACTAGAATTAAACTAATTAAAATCATTTAAAACAAGATCAAATTAAATAAAAAGTAATAAAATAAAATACAATAAAAAATTAATTAAAAATAAAATAAAAAGTTAGACAAATAAGCAAATTAAAGTAAAATGAGACAACATAATAAAAAATTAATTTAATTTTAAACTAAATAAAATAAATAATGAATTAAAATAAAATAAAATAAATAATAATTTAAAATAAAATAAAATTAACAAAAAAAATATAAAATAAAATAATATAAAAATAAATTAAAATAAACTAGAATTAAATTAAATAAACTGAAATAAAGTAAATAAAACCATTTAAAATAAGATCAAATTAAATTAAAAGCAATAAAAAATAGAATAAAAAATAAAATAAAAATAAAATAAAAGGTTAGACAAATAAGCAAATTAAAGTAAAATGAGACAACATAATAAAAAATTAATTTAATTTTAAATAAAATAAAATAAATAATGAATTAAAATAAAATAAAATAAATAATAAATTAAAATAAAATAAAATTAACAAAAAAACATTTAAAATAAAATAAATAAAATCATTTGAAATAAAACAAAATTAAATAAAAAATAATTAAATACAATACAATAAGTTAAATAAAAATAAAATAAAAAGTTAGAAAAATAAGCAAATTAAAGTAAAATGAGACAACATAATAAAAAATTATTTTAATTTAAGCAAACCAAAGCTTAAAAATATTTTTCACAAGGTGAAATGGATTAAAATATATTATTTAAGTGAAAAAAAGAAATATAATTAAATTCATAGAAATTAAATTAAAATCAAGAAATATATTTAAAAAATTAAACAAAACGGAATGAACCAAAATTTAATGTAAAACAAAGAAAAAATAAATAAATTCAATTATTAAAATTAATCAACATTAAAAAAAAGAATGTAGCTTCACTAAATATATATATTAAAAAGCCAAAACTTAAAACGTTATTAATTTAATTAAATAATAAATTGTAGAGAAGCAATAAGGAGTAAAGAAAGTAAAATATTTTTAAATTAAAATAGAATAAAAAAGGTAGGATAAATAGCAAATACTTAAAATTAAATAATAAAAAATTATTTATAAATATATAAAAAATATAACAAAGAACTATATATATTGGTTGCCCAAAAAGTAATTGCGGATATTTTAAAAGAAAGTAAATGCATTTTTAATAAAACTTAGAATGAACTTTAATCAAATATATAATTGCCATTTTGTTCGATAGCCTTTTGCCATCTTCCTGGCAAATTTAGTATTCCACGCTCATAGAACTTCTGGCCTTTATCTGCAAAAAACTGAACCAAGTGAGATTTTATAGTCTCATTATTGCCGAAAGTTTTACCATTTAAGGAGTTCTACAAAGATCGGAACAAATGGTAGTCTGATGGTGCAATGTCAGGGCTATATGGTGGATGCATCAAAAGTTCCCAGCCAAGCTCACTCAGTTTTTGGCGAGTGACCAAAGATGTGTGCGGTCTAGCGTTGTCCTGGTGGAATATGACACCTTTACGATTGACCAATTCTGGTCGCTTCTCCTTGATGGCTGTATTCAATTTGTCCAATTGTTGACAGTAAACATCCGAATTAATCGTTTGGTTCCTTGGAAGCAGCTCAAAATATACGACACCCTTCCAATCCCACCAAACAGACAGCATAACCTTCTTTTGGTGGATATCAGCCTTTGAAGTGGTTTGAGCTGGTTCACCATGCTTGGACCATGATCGTTTTCGACTAACGTTGTTGTAAACAATCCATTTTTCATCTCCAGTTATGATTCGTTTTAAAAACGGATCGAATTCATTGCGTTTAAGGTGCATATCACAAGCGTTGATTCGGTGTGTTAAATGAATTTCTTTCAATACATGTGGTACCCAAATATCAAGCTTTTTCACCAGTCCAAGACTTTTTATGTGATAATGAACGGTTGATTTTGGTATATTTAACTTCTCTCCTATCTCACGCTCAGTTACATGACGATCCAATTCGATTAATGCTTTGATTTGGTCATCATCAACTTCATTTGGCCGACCTGAACGTGGCTCATCTTTAAGTGAAAAATCTCCAGAACGGAATTTGCGAAACCAATTTTGACACTGTCTTCCTTTTAAGGCTTCATCACCATACACATCTCGTAACTTTTTAGCAACCTGCTCCGCGTTTTTTCCTTTACGGAAATAATAAAGTAAAATATGACGAAAATGCTCCTTTGTGGGCTCCATATTAAAATTGACGCCAAACAAACAAATGTAAACAAAATTTCGCGCACTTTTTTTCTAAAGCAAGCTAAAAGTAACAGCTGATAACTGACAGAAGAAAGAATGCAATTACAGAGTCACAAGCCGTTGAAAAAATTTGTCAACGCCGACTATATGAAAAATCCGCAATTACTTTTTGGGCAACCCATATATAATTGGCGCTTTGTAACCGCTAAAGCGATTTTCGGCCGTGGTCCTCCTCCATCTTGTGGTTTTGCGTCTTGATGTTTTTTTTTTAACAAATAGAGGGACCTACAGTTTATGCTAAGCCGCCTCCGAACGTACGATGGATTTTTATGAGATGTTTCTATTTCATATCAGAAGTACACTCGGAGAGCTGGACATTCATTGTCAAGGGGCGGCCACAATTGGAAAATTTAACTTATTTTTTTATTTATACTAAATAATATTCGATAACATTTGAATGTTGGTCGCACGGGGATTTGAGCCCGAGCCTTACGAATGGCAGTAAGCAATCCTAAGCATTTGGCTACCCCGGCCGCCGTTATTCAATATAAATGTAATGGTAATATTCTAATATTAACGGTAGTGGATTTAAGAAATAATTTAACATAAAATAAAAAAAATAATAAATTAAAATAGAATTATGAAATAATAATAATATAAAATAAAATAATATAAAATAAATTAATATGAAAATAAATTAAATTAAACTAGAATTAAATTAATTAAACGGAAATAAAGTAAATAAAATCTTTTGAAATAAAATAATATAAAATAAAAAAATTAAATACAATACAAAAAATTAAATAAAAATAAATTAAAAATTTAGAAAAATAAGCAAATTAAAGTAAAATGAGACAACATAATAAAACATTAATTAAATTTAAAAGCATAAAAAGTTTTTTCCACAAGGTGAAAAATTTGAGTTAAATATATAAAATACAAGTAACTTCAATGAAATTGAATTAAAGACAAAAATTATTTAAAAAAAAAAATAAAACAAATGGGAATGAAACAAAATGTATTGTAAAAAAGGAAAAAATAAATAAAATCAATTTATAAAATTAACCAAAATATAAAATTAAAAAAAGGTAACTTTAATAAAAATATATATTAAAAAAACCACAACTTAAAAATTTTTAAATTAAATTAAAAAATAAATTTAAAATAATTAAAAAAAAATTAAAGAAAACAAAATATTTTTTAATTGAAATAGTATAAAATAAGGTAAAATATATAAAAGATAATTAAAATTGAATAATAAGAAAAAACTATATTTTATAAATATACAAAAAAAAAAATAGAAAACCACTTGAAAATAAAATAAAAAATATTTATTATAAATAAGAATAAATTTCCTTCATTGACGCTCTTACTTCTGCGGTGAGTATGATTGATTTTTTACATAATTTCCCATTATATTTGTAACTGTAATTATGTAAACATTCTGCAATATTCAATCTACAATACATATTATATAACGAGTTCAAACTCCAACCAATGCAGCCCCTCACATCCACCCAGCCACTTCTGTGTGGCCATGAATTTGTATTCATCTAATGCTTAACTGATTTTTATGATTCTTTTTTGTCTTTTAAAACTGAGAAAACTCTCACCATTATTTGTCATGGAATCACCACAATCACTCTGCTCAAACGAACGGCAGGACACTAATGACGATGGCGTTGTCGTTGTGTGTGGATATGGTTCGGCCGGTGATTGTGAGTCCATTAAGCCAATTTTGGTATTTAGTGTAGTATTGATAGTAGTAGTGGAAGTACAAGTAGGTGGATAGTAGGTAGTGGTAGTGATAGCAGAAGAAGAAGAAGAAGAATTTATAGTACGTGTCAAATATCTCCTTCTACTCGCAACCGAACGCCCACCATGGCCAGCAACAACAACCAACTTACTTGTCTTTGAGCGTGGTTCACGCGGCCCATCAACGGTGACTTTAATGGCTTTGGCATAGGTGGCCACCTGTATTGGACTCGTATGAACGGTGATGGTGAGTGTAAAGCTTTTGCCTGCAAGAAAAAAAAAACACAAAAATTAATAAAAAAAAATATATTATCTGCATGCAGGTGTGTACAAAAGTTAGTGGCAAAAAAAAAGTTCGAGTTTCAGCTTATTCAATTTAAGTAGTAGCTTTAAATTAGCGAGCATACAATGTTTAAAACCGGCAGAATGGGTCGTCGCAGTGGCTGTTGGAGTGCGAATTGAAGAGCGAACGTAAATCTTCGAAAATATGGCAATATGTCAATTATGTGACAAGCAAATGGATTTGGGTATTGTGCCATGGCGCAAACTAAGAGACCTCTGACAGTCCGGCTGATTGAGTGAATGTGGCGTTTTTGTTTTTTGTTGGGAAACAGGGCGTACAGAAGTAAATGCTGCGCGGTGTGCTTGTCGCGGCATCTTTGGTGTTCTCCGCCAACCGCCAACACGTCCTGCCCAAGGCACATTGCCTCGCGCACTTTTCTGATGGGTAAATTAATTTAAAGTGATCATTACACGCGCCATAACAGCTGGCGGCATGGCTTGAAGTTGCAAAGTGGAGCATTTAATTGCCGAAAAGGAAGCCGTGTAGGGGTGTGAAATAATATCGTGGATTTTTTTCGCTGCTGTTTTTTTTTCTACACGAGATTGCCCATGTTTTTGACAACAGCTAAATGGGAAAATCATGAATTATGAGTGAGGAAATTGTGCTTGGATCGGATTTAGTATTAGTGGGTCAACGGATGGATTAAAGCGAATTATGAAGCTACATTGAAATTAACAGAAATTTTTGAAAAGACTATTAAAATAATTTTAGTTCTTTAATTTGAAATTGAAAAATATGCGAATATTTTAGAGTATTATGAAATTGCTCTCCCTTAAATTGGAAAAACTTAGTACCAACAATACCCATTGTTTACAATTTAAGCCCCTTCGGTGACATCCTTAGCATATACTAAGGTACCTTCCCCCTGTAGGGTACTTCCGAACTTTGTAAATTGAAAAATATATTGATAAGTGTGAAAATCTGATGGCCAAAGAAGTTGTGGCGGTCACTAACCTCTACTGTTATACCAAATCTGTAGAGTTGTTACTATGAGAATTGACTACCTCGCAACGATTGAATCTATCAAATTTCGCACTGCGATATGGAGAGAACGCATTTCCTTCCAGTTGCAAAGCAGTAAAAATGAAACAAGAGAATACTCGATTCTTGTATCGATGCATATGGGACCGACGTACCATTGCTCGACTGTGACGAAGTTTGAGTAGTAGTAGAGAGCCGATGCCTTACCGGTTTACCTAAAATATGCAAAATATGATAGGACGAAAGCATGCTCGATGACTAAAACTTACGTGTGCTTTCCCCAGCCTATTAAAATTGTGCCAATATCTGAGACTTCCTGATCAGTAGGACTTTAGACAAGGCAAATCTACAACGCGAGCTTCCGCGATCGGTTTCGGGTTCAGAGCAATCCGGACTGTTACTGGTTTTCGGTCACCGGTCTATTGGATTTTGCGATTTCCCTCAGACACGCCCCTCGGTCGCTTGGGCGGGAGGTGGGTAACGCTGGGTTCGTCGTAAATTGACACCATTAGCCAAATCTTGGATAGCACGAGAAGGAACTGGCTCTGCGCCGCTAATTCTGAATTCGGTATCCCTGGGAAATTTAAGGTGACTGTGTAAAATTACGCTGAGCAGCACCAAAGATCGAGACTAAGCTTTCTGCGCCACGAAGCTTAAGACAATGCGACTCTTTAGATTGCGACTCAATACTAGAGAAAATATTGAGACCAGCAGAGCTAAAAAGAAAAGGTCTCTTACAAACGATAGCATACAAGTTCTGACGCATGCAGACGATATTGGCATCATCGGTCCCAACAACCGCGGATTTAATTCTGCTTTCTCCATACAGTATAAGCAAGCGAAATGAATGGGTCTAGCATTTTGAAAGTAAAGTCCTCTCTCGACGAACAAAAACTGACTTGTTCATCATACATTTTGCGCATAATTTATGGACCTTACCGCATTGTCAGCAATGAATACCCCAGCTTCCAAGGAACGAGATATAGGACGACATTAGCACAGTTCAGCGAAAAAAGGGACAAGGGCTAAGTTGGCTAGGCCATGCAGAGGAAGAGGAGAACCTCCAGGGTATCGGAAGGATGAGGTGGAGAAGGGACTGGCTTCGGTTGGTGTTTGCAATTGACATCAAACGGTTAAGCGAAGAAATGAATGGAGCACTATTGTTTACTGGACTAAAGTCGCTTAAGCGGTAACTACGTCAATAAAATATATAAATAACAATTGAGCTAGCAGTTCGGCAGGGTTCAGGGTATTTCAACCTCTACGACTGTGTTACTGACTTGAAATAAAAAACGCTTTGTAAAAATCCAGCTCTGCGAAGTCGTCTTAGATTAAATGTATGTCCTATAACTCGAATCTCGGCCTTTAGAATGACAGTGCGCAATGCTAACCGTTCGGTTATTACGGCCGAGATAAAAGCTTTACTGGGTTTTTTCTGAAGGTACGTAGATGGGTCGAGCTCTGCCTGAAGTTAATCAAGAAATCAACAAATACTCAAATATCAAATAGCTCTAATTAAAGCGATGATTAAGCTGTGAAACTACCTCCGCCTGTGCGCCTACAATTCAAAGGTAAGCAAGAAGAACAATACGCGCGCCACAATCGTGGACAGAAGCAGCAAATCGGCGATCTAATTGCCTTCAGCATATAAAATTACCATTAGATCTCCAAAGCATATTGTGGCTTTCTAAAAAAAAAAATACAATAAAGTTATTAAACACGCATTTTATGTAACAGATCAAAGAGTATTTTTGATGGATCAACGATTTTCGGTACTCAAACTCAAGAGTTTCATTTGCCTAGAAGAAGTCTTGGATAAAAACTCAAGACGATCGATGAAGCTGTACAAACAATAAATGGAGCTGAATTGCGTTTGAAAGTGCAATTAATAAAAATTATACGAAAATTAATCAGTCCTCGCATAAGAACTATGTACGAGTATGTATGTAAGTAATTGAGAGCAGAGAGACAGGTAACAAGCGATGGAACCAACAAAGTCAATGTCCAGCGCAGAGGAAAAAAGAAAAGAAAACAAATTAGAGCACACAAAAAATAAATAAATTTTAAAAATTCAAAACATTGTCCTAACAATGAAAATTTAGAAAATATAATATGTGCGTTAATCACATATACATATATACGTGTATGTATGTACGCATGTATGACATTCATCACAACAAAACAAAAGCACAAAAAACACAGAAGAAAAAATGATTTCAAAAAGTTAATAATCCAAATTAGTCATTCAGCACCGACGCCACCAACTACCACCAACAACAAAGCAGCAAACGGTACTTCGGCTCAGCTAGTCAACTTAGCTCACCACTGGTGAGAGACTAACAACAAAGGAGCAGGTAAGAAGCAAATAAAAGTAAAATAAAAGAGTTTAATACGCATATGTATGTATGCACATATGTATATGTGTAAATAAAGGGTGTTTTTCCTACGTGTGGCTATCAATAAGGCAATACTTTTCTCTGTGTTGGTCTCGTTAACTTCCCTGCAGGGGGTTTTTACATCAACAAGTTCATCATCATCCATTTTCCATGTAAGCAACTGATATTTATAACACAGCGATTTCCTACAAGCTGACAATTGTCCTACTATGCATTAGCTTCATACTAGTTTAATACTAGTTCGTTTAGGCATGTTGAATTTCTAGTTCAATAAAAAAAAAGACTAAATCAAATAAAATTCCGTTCGACGGTTGCGTGAATCGAACCGAGACCCTCACGCTCAGTAGTGAAGACCTCTAACCGCTAGACTATCGTTACGATATATGTAGGAAACAAAACTGCGCACTTCAACAGAACTTTTTAGGAAATGAAACTCAGCCGTGTTATACTAAAAACAAAAACAACGTACAAATGACGTGGAAATGAAAATTTCTGTTTCACCAAGAATTAAAAAATGAAATTAAAATTTAAAAAATTCTGTTTCACCAAAAATTAAAGAAAAAAAATAAAACTCAAAAATTAATTTGCCTCTAGCGGAATTCGAGTCGGGGACTTAACGTGCTGCAGAGATAACCTCCGACTACTCGGCTATCATGACGATGCAAGCATCAGTGTCATTTTGCGCACTTCAATAGAATAGAGCAGAGAATGGAATTCAGTCGCGGTCTGCCGATATAACAACAAAAAGGAGATTGTTATTTCTCGCGTTATTGGTGGACTTCTTTACAAATAATGAACTGGTATGATTTCATCTTCAACATACTAGTGTTTAACCTGAATTTTTGCATGCTATTGGGTTTTCCTCTGCAAGGACATTTTATAATGATCAGACTTACTCCAGAACGACTTTTGAAAATCGTTTATATTTATTGCGCCACGAAAGACACACTGTGACCAATAATCGGTCGACATAATCGCGCAAGAGAGTCTATACTCCGAGCAACGATGGGCCGGTTTCTCATCACGTTTACTCTAGTAGATAATAATGCGCATCCGCTGAGTCGCCTTACAGTGTGCACCGTGTGCTGCTGCTGCTGTGGAGCAGAGTATCGAAGATGACCCTCGAATGAGTCCATCCGCCATTGCGCGCATTAATTTCAGCTGTGTCCATTTACTTTATGGAAGGTTTTGCGGAGAGATCTTGGTTTGCAGGCTTACGAAAACCAAGTCGTGCAAGAATTGAAGCCAAACGACTATCAAGCGCTTCGTAAGTTCAGTGAATGGATCCAAAACGAGCTGACGACCGATCCCGATTTTTCCAAAAAAAATTTTGTTCACCGATGAGGCTCACTATTTAGTGAATTGGATAAGTAAGAGACGCCGTTATATCCTAAAAAAGTCACTGTTCGGTGTGCCCTATGGACAGAGGTAATCATTGGTCCATATTTTTTCAAAAATGAAACCCCTTATAATGTTACAGTCGTTGGAGAATGCTACTGATTTACGATTAAGGACTTTTTCGTCACTGTGTTGGAGGGTTTTAATA